TACGGCCCATGTGATGGTAAACGGTTACCGCCTACGGGCGCATGATTTACTATATAGTTTTTGAAAAACTCTATGGTGTAGTCTCTCGAGAAAACCTCGGCCGGTAATTAATTCCACAATCTAAATGTATGCGGGAGAAATTTCATCTGAAACCGCACTGTCCCTGAATAATCTTCCATACTGAACTTACGACCTTTATAATGCGAAATAATACATAGTATAACTGTAAAATTATGTATATTTATATATTGTCCACATTTATATACGTAATTTGAAGGATACCAAACGTCTTATCTATCTATTTAAAAATAATTTAAATTATTTTTTTACTTGCAACACTATCTGATTGGAATTGCGTTGTGTTCGCTCAGCAAAAAACTGCGTAAAGACCAATTTTACTACCATATAAAAATATACATTACATCTCTTTCTAACATTAAGTTCCTACTGTTTGCAAGATTCCCATATGAAATCAACAAAATTCACATAGGAACCTTGGGTAAATATACACATCAAAAACTTCGGTTTCGTTTATAATACTATTATACATCGTAAGGACTATCGTTTCAATATGTGGAATACAAAATTATATATCAGTAGTGTAATCAGAAACATGTTTATAGAAATTAGTATCGTCAGAAAAATTGTTTTCGATTACAAATGTATTTTTAATAATTTGAGTCTATCATTTAAATATTGGACCTAAAAATCTTTTAGAAAAATGTTTATACTTTGTGAAATTATTATTTTTAATTTCAGAATTTCTTTATTTAATGGATTTATATTATTTTGTTTAATTCCGCTACCATTAGCATGTGTGAGACCACAAATATTCAGTGCAGAAACTTTGACCACCACTACAGTTCAGTAACCAGACTACTCTAGTACTGGAAGCATTAACATGTGTGAGACCACAATTATTGTGCTATATAGCAGACTATTTGTGGTCTCACGCATGCTATTGGTAGCGAATTAAAAAATGTATATACCAATTAAATTTTTTTCGGAAATTGGACTACTCCGAAAAAAAATATATAGTTATTACAATAGTATGAATTTTGTCACTGTATTATTTTAAATAAAATTATACTATTTCTAGGTATATTCTCGGATATTAGTAGATTAATATAACATTTTAGTTATTTAATTAAATATGGTCCCCACACAAAGAGTGACCATTCGAAAAAATTTCAAACATTAAACATAAGTAAATAACTGTCGGAAAAATATAAAATAATACAAATTAGTATTTGGTTTCGAGACGTAATCACACGTCATTCTTACAGTTTTCTTATACTTATATTACAAACTTTATAATTTACAATACGATTATCCATACACAACTTATTTAATGTTATTACAATACTCTATTTAATATTTATTTATTTATTAAAAAAATACAAGCGAAAATAAACTTTAGTATTAGTTTTGGAAATAAAAAAAAATCTATTTCAATCTCGTATATTTATTTTATTCGAGTGTTAATATGTTTTCGTTAATTTTCGCTTGTAGAATAAAAATATAACAAAAAATAAACAAAGGATTGTATCCTATGTCATATATATAAAAAAGAAATGTGTAATATATTAGCTAGGTATTATATAGCACCTTTATATATGTGCTTAACAATTTGTAGTTATATATTGGTCTACGCGAGTGACGAATAGGTTCGTTGCAAATGTAAAAAACAAATAACGATTTTTTGGATCTGTGGGACTTGCGAAACTTATTGTGTAATAGAAGCTTTACAATTTCCATAGACGACCATAGACTAAAGAAGTCAGAAAATGAAAGATAGACTTTGCTTTTTGGCCTAATTTTCTTCAGTTATATGTTAATAAGAATATTTAGTTTTACTTTAACAACAATAATTAGGAAAATTATACTTTGTCTCTTTCCCACACTCACGCAGAACAATGAAAGAAATAAAAGAGAAAATAATACGGAACATTAAAGCCATAAGTCATATTTACAGCTATTTGGTGATTTTGGTATGGCACCATAGACAAACTGATTACGAAAATAAATATGATAAATATTGACAGCCCATAGATTTGCCAAGCATCTAGATCAAGCAGCGCCATCTCTGTTTTACAACCTGGAAACTGCCTATGGTAGCTTGACTGTTTATAGTCCCCATAAGTTTAAACAAATTCTTTAACATTATTTTTATGTGTATAGCAAGTTGTGATGTAGGAATGATATAATAATCTAGTTTTACAAATCATAACCTCTCTTATACAACATTCTGTTTACATTTCAACCTAGGGCTGATGTAGAATAAAACAAAAATCAAAGTTAAATCATGTCAAATTCTCAAACTTAATCATAGAAAAAAAAAATTATTGTATTATAATTAAATTATTTTTAACACAGATTGACTACATTTTAGGCTGCTAATACACAGTTAGACTATTTTCAAAATGGGCGAGACAACCAATTGCTTAATGGGAGTTCACAAATGTTAATTGCAATAGATCAACTTGACAACAAACCGACTGTATATCAGCAGCCTTAGTCTCTATCAACAAAAATAATAACTAAACATTACTTAAAGATAACCTAAAAAATATTGAAAATAAATACCTTATCGCATAAGGAATATAAACAAAAATCACTCGAGTGAATACAAAAATACAATGTAACTATTGAAATGAACAAAATATTTTTTTTATACAAAATATTGTTCAATATAAATATAATTATGTACTTATGCTTAGTACAACTTCACTCATGTGTATACAACCTATAAAGAAATTATACAAAAAATAAATATATTTCTTTAAATAAAAAAAATGATTCGGAGATTAGATGCCATAATTTTGTGAAAAAAAACAATTGTAACTTATGGCAGCTGATTTCCAAATACAATGTTAAATATAAAATATTTGTTTATGCCTCCAAATATATGTTGGAAATCTGACAACCGGATTATATAATCTCAATTCAATCGTGGAACAATCAATATTTGACCATAGACAAAAAGAATTCCCACCACATGTTGTCTAGAACATACTGTAAATTGTTTTTAATAACAATAATTCAGCTATTTGCAAACACTAGAAAAATTAGTGCTGTTACCAGTTTATAAAAAGGTTTAATTACGTTTATACTTTTGAAGGTTTCAATATCATATTGGTTCGGAAATACTTCTGCTTGAGAAGTTTTTAGAGTATACCAACCGAATGGAAGAAAATTATTGTTAAAATGTCTATCTACCGTTCTCACATAATAATTAAACTTTGAGGCTTAATGCTTTATTCATCAACTCATACCATACTAAAATTACTAGATCGACCAAGTGTTACCAACTTCAATATTAGTAATTTAGTTTTATGTGTACGATATTTGATGGAGTCTTTATTAAATGATCTTAACTATAGTAGGCATATTAGACTATACGATCTAAAAAGAGCCATCGGTTTCGTTTTTCTATAAAAAACAAGGATAAGTAGCTAAAAACATGTAGATAGGAAGACTTATTTATTGAGAAGATTTCTCTTAAATTTTCTCAAATTCTTGTTCAATTTTCCCTAAAAATGTAGGTTTTTAGAGAAATTTTAACAAAAATTGAGAGAACACCAGAGGATAATCTAGCAACACTGTTTGTATATGGGATCCATATCCATATATAGAAATGTGATAAACATATTTCAGTCCTAGGTACATTGAGTTTAGAAAAAACATATAATGTTTAGTTTCGTAAAGATAGATATATCTGTATTTTTGTCTGTCAAATTTAAAATTGTTAGAACAGCTACACTCATACATTTTAGTTTTGGTGCTCGATTACGTAATTCAGATGCAATCAAATGTCATTTGAAACAGATTGGTATATAAATTCATAATTTTGAGGTTATATTTGAAGCTTTTGATAATTTCAAACAAAATTAAACAACTCGGTTGATTTTTAACTGTCAAATGGACTCTGTTAGACGAAGGAAAGGGACTTGTAGTGTGGACAATACTAACTCCATTGCTAGCAATGTACAATCTCCTACACTGGATTGACCTCCATATTTCCTCCCTTTAAATCTATCGCGATTAATTCCTGATTAACTGCAACTACGGTTGATAATCTTGACCTGACTTCTTGTTAGGTCAAGAACTAGTGACAGATGATAAAATCCGCTAATCCGAAATCTAATTTTTATACTAAATTTGTATTTAAATTTACAGTTCATTTATTGTACATTCTTGTTCTATACTTCAAATTCTGTTATGTCATTAATTTTACCAATATATATATATCTGTATTCCAAGTCTTTTTCTATAGTTTTTCGTTTTATCTGTACACGTATAAAATAAAACTACAATATCCTCATTGTATCACCTTTCACTGGTGCCAGTATACCCTATTCCCGATTATTCATAATTACCAATTAAAAAAATATGGTCAAGATACCAAAATTATTAATACATTTTATGATATTTAAATTGACAAATTTCCGATTACATATAATCCATTTGACAATTTCAGACGCCAACCGAGTCGTATGCTTTGCAACTGTAGCTGTCAAATGACTGAAACATAACCTCAAAACCGTGTCAGTCAATTTCAAACGCACATTCATCGCAATTGAGTTACATAATCGATACATGGGTTTGTAAAAACATATCACTTATGTTAGTACCATACCGGATTAACTAAAAAAATACAAACTTCGGAATATCTTAAAGTTTTAGCTTTAAAGAGGCCGATCATTAATCACGTATGGCTCGAGAAGTAGTAGGTACTAAAGATACACGTGATTGAGTTTGGGAGGGTTAGTACTAAACCTCCCCACCATGGGTAGGGTAGGGGGAGAGTATATGTTAAAAAAATGCTAATAAAAAGACGTGATTAATGTACCGGAATATGCCCCAAAGTCAAATTTAAAAAATTATACAATTTCAAGTTAATGCAGTATTGTACAAATTGTACGTATGTACGTCATTTTACTTATACAATTGAATTGGATTTTGTTAATAAAATACATACATAGATATATATAATTAAAGCTTACCACAGTCTTCTGTTACAACATAACGCAGGTCCGTTTCTTGTGGGGTGTATAATTTGATTTGTTGTTGATCCTCTCGGCCTCCTGGAAGCGGCGGACGAGCCTCACCAGCTCATGGAACGCCTGGTCCACGTTCATGCGCGCCTTCGCACTACATTCTATATATGGAACCTTCAACTGACGCGAGAGGGCTTGAGCCGCCTCTAGTGATACCTGAAATGTCATACCAGATCATATACTTAAAGACGATTTTTTTAAAGGGTTATTTAAACTCGATTTCTGTTTATTACATAAGGTTGGTATTGACTTTAATACTTTTTTAATAACCCTGAAAATTTCAATCAGCGCTCTCTAGTCTCTAGTAGATAAGCAATTTACATAACATCTTTTTGAATTATAGCCTATGTGTTATTCCGATGTATAAACTAATATACCTGTAAAGTTTCATCAAAATTCGTTCAGTAGTTTCTGCGTGAATGAGTAACAAACATCCGTCCATACTCACAAACTTTCTCATTTATAATATTGGTAAGATATTAAAGTTTATACACTCACTAAATACACACAAGGCAATCCCAGCCCTGACTTAAAAATTGTTAATTTATTTATTTTTGTATATACATTGTACTCCGCACTAGGCGAATCTGTATCGCAAGAGTCCACAAAGAGTCGATTCACAACGCAAGTTTCAAGACATTTGTAGCCCGGGTCCCCCATAACATGCTGACCACCTTCATGAACAGGAGCGGATCGCGAATTGGTGGTGCCCTGTGCTAAATCTACTTAGGGGGGCCTACATAATTATGTTACTCAACTAAAAAAATACACCAACAAAAAACAAGTGACCAGAAATTCCCCGTTCCTCACGCGCACTTGCATGGATTGATTCTCCTCAGGGTTGCCAACCTTATGATAGGTTTTTAAAATTCTAGATATTTTTTTGTATATTCTAAATATCGTTTCAGTGGGCTGGGGGTCTGGGCTGCAGCCCTATGAGCCCTTAGGTAGATCCGCCCCTTTTCATGAAGGGGGACTACTGGCCGAAGGGTGTGGTGTATCTGCATTACCGTCATCAGAGCCGTGACCACAGCAGCAATTTATATATTTTTTTGATTATTAATTCATATTTCACTTAAATTGAACTCAACAATTGAGTGGGTATACACTGAATTACTCACAATAGTTAAAAGCTATATTTGTTGATTGTTTATTATTCATATATATGTTGGTAGATTTCAAATATAATTTATAATTACTAATATTATAAATGTAAAAGTCTTGGATAAATAATGGATCTTTTTTACACTTTCACGCAAAAACTACTGAACCGATCATCACGAAATTTTGTACACATGTTCTTGGAGGTATTTGCATGAACATAGGATAATTTTCAATTAAATATATATATGTATATCATATATAAAAATCAAAATTTTGCTACTTCAGCGCCATCTAGCAGCCAGTAATGAAGTTATGCGAGCGAAGCCGCGGGTAAAAGCTAGTTTGTAATAAATTTTACATTTGTAGGCTGGTTATAAATTTAGCGTAAAGGAATTTACTATATAATATCCGAGGTGTATCACGTATATATGTTCGCTATCCTGCTTTTTAGCACACAGTAACATTTATTATTAAAAACTACAAAGATTTACAATTTTTATTGTAATTTTTTGTTGTTTTTAATAATAATAAAATATGTATGTTAGTCTAGGTAATCGTAATATGACTACACGGTTTGAGATGAATAAATAAAGAAATTAAAATAAATTGCCAGTTTAACATCAGACAAATTTATTAGTTTTAATTTATATTTTTACATTTATAACTACTACAGGTAATGTAAAAGTACAATGAAAAAAATTTATTATTATTATAAACTAACTGTTACCGAGATTTCGTTTGATAAAACTTTTATCCCTTAGCATCCTACCAGCTATCTTACTAATTTTCATAAACGCGTAAGTTTGTGAGTATGGATGGATGTTTGTTACTCTTTCGTACGCAGAAACTAATGAACGGATCTTGTTGAAACTTTACAGTAATATAGCTTATACATCAGAATAACACATAGAGTATAATTTAAAAATATATTATGTAAATTGGGCGATATATAATTATAAGTGTGATGCATACGAAGTCGCGCAGTATAAGAATGAAAGAGAACTTTTTTAAAGAGATATATTTATGACAATATCTATCCCATAAAGTGTGGATACCCCATCGGAGTTTAGTGCTTGCAATTAGGTATACAAATATATACGCAATGGTAAACAGTACATGATAAATCCTATTATTGGTTTACCTCCGTGAATCATTGCGCTGCAGCGTGACGTCCAGATTTTCGAATGGGAAAAACAAATGCTATCATCAACTGTAGGTATTGATGTCAATAATAATGTATAATAATACCATCTGCCTCTGTTTTGCCATATAAATTAAAATCGCTATTAAACAATAGGGGGTTGGTGCTGGAAGGGTGAACTTTTAGGGTCGGTGAATTTTTTAAAGATTTAATATACAAAAATTTGTCTAATAAATAAAATATCAGGGATGGTTATCCCTTATTACTTAGGGGTATGAAGTATAGATAGTAGCCGATTCTCCCAACTACTAAATATGCATATAAAATTTCATAAAAATCGGTCAAGCCGTTTCGGGGGAGTATGGTAACTAACACTGTGATACGAGAATTTTATATACGAGTACGTCATAAAGAACATCATAAAGAGAGAGAGAGAGAGAGAGAGAGAAAGAGAGCGGATATTGTTATGTCGAAAGTATACTCCAAAACTTTGCACCGATTTCAAAAATTAATAAACATATATTAATAACTCATTAAAACTAATATACCATCTATAAAAAAATATATCTAAGTATTTATATCAGTTGTCTAGTGCCCATAACACGAGCTCTGCTTAGCTTGGGACTAGGTGGCGCTGTGAATCGTCCAAGGGTTTATTATTGTTATTATTAATATCTTCGCTGGAGTCTGTCAGATTTTTTTTTTATGGATGATAATGGAATGATGCACCCACTATTTACGTTGGCGGGGCACCAGTGAAGGATGATAAGATGAGCATGAAGTAAGGTGTAACAACTGACTTCTCCTTGATTTGGTGTATGTATTAGACTAGATAAAGAATGAATACATTAGAGGAAGTATGAAAGTGGCGCCGATGTCGGAGAGGTTAAAGAGTAATCGTCTATCGTGGTATGGGCATGTAATGCGTAGGAATGAAGATCATATCCTAAGGACGGTGTTACATATGAATGTGGATGGTTATAGGGGTAGAGGAAGACCGAAAAAGAGATGGATGGACTGTGTGAAAGATGATATGGTGAGAAAGGAGTATATAACGGAATGACTGCGAACAGAGATGAATGGAAGAGAAAAACATATTACGCCGACCCCAAATAAATGGGATAAGGAAGAAGCAGATGATGATGATTAGTATTTATATTCATATGCATGTAGTAAAAAACGGTTATTTCAATATTATTCAACAGTCACTCCAATTTTATTTATATGTATAGATGGTGGGCTATGATACACCTGAAGTAGGACGTACTCCATCAATGCAGTCTTAATGAAGTACGTAGTTAAAATGTTAAGAGGAGAAAAATGCAACCAAACGATATTAGCATCAACATCCATACGAGCGCCCATAAACAAGCACGTCGAAGGAACTTATTTGATGTTCCTTGGAGAAAAACAGAGCTGGCCCGGCAGGCTCCCATTACTCTTGCACTGAGTCTACTCAACGGTGTCGTTAGTCGATTTCCTGAGCTGGACATATTTACATGTGACTTGTTAAATTTTAGCAGAATGGCAATGGATTTCCTAAATAACACGTAAAATTTTCGGTTGTTATTGTTTTAATATATTTTTTTTGTAATTATTACTATATCATATTTTTGTATAATTTTTCCTAAGTGAGCATATTGGGGAGCTGTAAGACTCGCTTAGTTTGATGTCAATAAATATATAAATAAATTATCATAATTCATTATCATTGTAATTAATAATGATTAAATCAACACGAGTATTTACCAATACATTTACATTATTACATTTTCCCTACGCATTTATCGAGATATTTGTAGAAATCGTTTGTGCGAGTACCTCAGTCTCACCTATTTCAGCCATTCATCTGCTTGTTTTATAATAATAATAATATCTCAAGACAATTCACATAACGCCATCTAGTCCCAATCTAAGCTGAGCTTGTGTTGTGAGTACTAGATAACTGATATAAATGATGCATTTCTTTTCGTAAATAAATACATATTATACCCTACCGACGCCATATATAACGTGATTATAATGGTCTAGTGGTTTACCACAACGCTTTACTATCCGATGGTCGCGGGTTCGATTCCTCGCACGGTGCAAACATTTGTATTTATGGGTATGATTGTTTGTATCGGTCTGGGTATTTTCTATGTATATTTTGTATGTATCAGTTGTCTTGTACCCATAACACAAGCTCTACTTACTGTGAGTCTAGATGGCGCTGTCTTAATTGTCCAAGGTTATTTATTGTTATGTGACACCCATAATATCCATCGTGCATTGCCATTACGGAGATGTAATTTTTTTATAGCATAGGGGACAACCGTTTACTTTGGTGGGTCATCAGTGGTGGATGATAATATGAACATGATGCGAGCTCAGTTAGCCCATTGCAATTTTACAAAGATCACCCCTCACTCACTCACACACACACACACACATACGCACACACAGCACGCACACACACACACCCGCACGCATGGGGGGGAAGGGGATTGTTAGTAATGTGGACTAATGTCCCCATTGCCAGCAATGCACCATGTCAGGTTGACCTCCACGCGGTTCCTCCTGGAAACCATCGTGATAAATTTCTGGTGAATTTGTCACGATGGGCTAACTGACCTGACCTCATGCTCATCTTACCATCCTCCACTGGTGCCCCGCCAGCGTAAACCGTTAGCGCAGGCGGGTGAACCATTCCATTATGATTCTTAAAAAAAAACCTGAGCTATCTTCTTTTTACCCCCACCCCCTGGTCGGGTTCCTGGTTATAAACGGAGGCAATCCTTTTCAGACACACATACAACATGCACACACACACACACACACACACACACATGCTCAATGCACTCCACGTTTAAACTTAAAACTAGATGTATAACTAATTTATATGAAGGGGAGACCTGTGGGCTAATTATGTAACTTCGTTCGCAACGATTTTCGTATGTAACGTAGTGAAAATGACGTCATCTGTCAATAATGCGATCATATAGACGCCATTTGACGCTGTCAACTAGCATTGCAACGTAAACGCAACTTTACATATCGATAAAAATTATTTCTATCGAATGTCGATTTAGTAACCTCGTTGCAACGTCACGTAATCGCTATTTTGCCGAAATGACAGCGTGGAATTGAAACGGTTTTTACATTATGAGAAACAATTTAGAAGGTGTTTCTTTTGGTTACAATCTTTAAAATATCAGCATTAGCAGCTTTATTTATCTTGTTTTGGTAATTTTCAGTATTACATATATTTTTATTATATTAAATATTACGTAGAAAGTCGTGAAAAGGTTTTAAATTTATTAAAATGGGAAAATTGTCACGACTCACAACACGACATCAGTACACACAGTAAATGTTTAATATAAAATTAGGGTTGATTATGATATTAATATAATTAAAAAACTATTTCAATGAATACGGTGCTCTGTGAACACGTTTATGACTGTGATTTGTTTACAGTAAATAAATTTATTTGTTTAAAGTTTTTACATTATGTACAAATTTAAAAAGATGTGCCCATATCATTTTAAATTTATATGGATACCTACGTACTTACCTAGGTATCTATAGCAGAAAAGAAAATTTAATTTGTAGGTTAGATTAATATTATTAATGATTATAAATAGTTTGTATAAAATATGCTTTTATATTCAAAATTATTAACCTTATTTTTTCATTAGAATAGAATAGACTTTCTTTATTTTATTTTATTAAATGTCTATTAATAAAATTAAAATAAAAGAACAAATGAACGCTGCAGTATATTTTGTAATTTTTGAACGTAATAAAAATTGTTTCAAATCAACCAACTAGTGTAACAACCCAATAAATTAAAATGTATCCCTCTAAAGGTATAAGCTATCTAATGTACTGACTTTTTAAATTGGTCGGATTAACAATATTCCGCTGCAACTTCATAGTAATGTTTTATCGATAGAAATGATTTATGTTGCGGTCATTCGACCTTACTTGATCGCATTTTTTAAATTGAAATGATTTCATATTGCATCACAACTTCAACAGAAACAATTTCATATCGTGTTACATAATTAGCCCACTGGTGTCTAAGTTACAGGCTATTGCTTACTTTGGGCTCCAGATGTCCCACAAATCATATTTGTGATTTTTATTGTTGGCATTTATATAAGAAAACTGGAACTATGTAATTTGTAGAGACGAAAAATTTTTATTTATTTATTGTTTATTGTGACAAATTCAGCAGTAATGGAAACAGGTGGTTAACAGTCCAAATTACTAACAATCCAATTCTTCACCAATGGTCAGGTTTTTTTTAAATTTAAGAAAGCAATAAAATAGTTTATTTGGTACATAGTAATAATAAAAATATATTTTAAATTTTAAATTACATACTGGTTTATATTAATTATATGTTACCAAACCAGCATATGTCGTGATGAGGTGCCACGACGCTGGTATTCTGCGGATACCTTCATACATATCTTAATATACATACTTTGACTTGTTTATTGTACATAATTGTATATGTAATTGTATTTTCTGTGAGAGGAACAATAAATATTTTTATTCATTAATTCATTCATACATACATACATACATAGATCTAGGCGGATAACACAGAGTAAACATTTACGACATACTACCTATACATATAAAAAAATTGTATTGTCTGTTTGTAATATTGAAATAACAGTTTTTTACTACATGCATATAAATATAAATGTACCGTATGTACCGTATACACCAAAATATTTTTTTTACAATTTTTGTCTGTCTGTTTGTTCCGGCTAATCTCTAAAATGGCTAGGCCAATTTTGACGGGACCTTTTTTGCCAGGTAGCCGAAGTAATAAGGAATAACTTTTATTTTAGTTCTATTACTACATTATATACTTACATTGGCTATGGCTACTTTTATAGAAAAATAACGTTAAATTATTTCCGCGGACGAAGTCGCGGGAACAGTATATAAATAAATATCAATCATAACTATACACTGAAACATAAAATAAACATAATGATCTGGTAACACTTGCAGACAGACACCTTGCATTACCCTGCATTTGGAGTGCAGACATATCACAGCACAGTTTTCCGAGTAGGGAGTAGTAGTTTTTTAAATATAATAATGCACAATAGTGCTCCCTCCTGCGCTATCAAACACTATCAAAATTTAAATTATAGAGAATTTTGATCTGAACTTACCACTCTTTGCGACTCCAAGTCTGCCTTATTCCCAACCATGAGCATGGGGAATTCGTCTCGATCCTTCACACGAAGGATCTGCTTGTGGAATTTGTAAAGTTCATCGAAGCTCGCGTGATCTGCCACTGAGAACACCAGGAGGAATCCTTCGCCGGACCTCATGTACTGCTCGCGCATAGCACTGAACTCCTCCTGGCCAGCCGTGTCTAGAACTAAGAGTGAAACATATATGAAACAGGTATGCTCGCTATAAATTTCAAACTTGTGGCCGCGTGGTGAGCGGGTCAAAGTGCTCCCTAAAATATGGTCGAGTGCAGTGATGGCTGGCTCATCCGTCATACTCGTAAACGAGTGCTGCTTGTTAGACTAGACTATTTGCTTTTGCAATAGCATATACTGGTAGTCTCTATTCTCCCAAATTTTAATTTATAAATGAACTAACTACTCGCCCTGGCATCGCTCGGGTGTACATGTATTATACATATAAACGTTCCCCTTGAATCACTTTATCTATTAAAAAAAACGCTTCAAAATCCGTTACGTAGTTTTAAAGATTTAAGTATACATAGAAACGGACAGACAGCGACAGCGACTTTGTTTTATACTATGTAATAATAATAATGATCTGTATTATTATAAACATGTACAACATTGATTTGAAAATAATACGAGCTGAGTTTCTTGTCAGTTCTTCTCATCTTGAAATCATTCGGAACTGACGGTAGATTTGACATATCATAAGAGTATGTAATAGAGTTACATGAATAAAGATATTTTAAAGTTGAACTTTTACATACACATATTATTATAAGAATAATTTATTGCTGCTAATGAAATTATTTATATATGTGAATTTATGTAGGAAAAATGTTAGGACACTTGATACGGCTCGATGAATTTATAAAAATTATTATTGAGAGAAAAATAGAAGGAAGGTCTTCCCCTCCCTTCTGGGAAGGGAAGACTAAGGCCCAGCTACATCTAAGAAAATAAAGACAAAATTGGAGTCCTGTCAACATCTTATCAACATTTAAAGAGCATGATGGAAGATCGTGGAAAGTTGCAAGAGCTCCACCGACAAGAGCGTGGCTCTTAAATTATGAATGACTGATTTATTATTAAAAATAACGTTTATTCAAAAGAGCAACACGTAAGTTTATTTCTCGTTCTTTCTTGTGATGAGTCTGCATTCCGAATGAGTGGTAGAATAAAAAAATATGACATAAAAAAATGCTTATATTGGGTTCACTAAAGATTATTTCCTATTTCTATTTAATGAAATTACATAAAAAATATATTTAAGGGGTACTTCATTAGGCAGCAAAAGTACCGGTCCTTCAGTGAATGCTGACAGGATTCTCATTTGCAGCACTAGTTTTTAACTGGACCTTTCTCTCAAATTTAAAGACTAAAAACTAGGGTAGGACAACACAACAACTAATCAATGGCAAATAAAATTCTCATCTTATATCAATCCCTTATCAGATAAAACTCTGTTTTATGTTAAATATAAACCTTTTTCTTGAATCACTCTATCTATTCCTAAAAACTATAGTAAAGTCTGTTGCATAGTTTAAAAGATCTAAGCGAACAGAGAGCCTAAACAACTTTTTATACTAAATAAAGATATAGTAAAGTAAGTAAGACATAATCGCTTAGCACAGCACTGGTTTCCCTCGAGAAAGCTGACCCCAAACAATAGAATAATAAATGAAAGTAATCTGTTACTGTGGAACAATCTTAGTTACCAATGTATATATACATAGTAATGCTATAATATACACAATAATTAATATAACAATGAGGCAAAAGCAAACATGTGATTATGTTTTACAACTACTTTGATACTGTAAACATGGTTTTTACACACATTGATAGGTATAGAAAAACCCCCAAGTATATTAAAAATTAAACATGTCTTTAATTATAACAAAACCCCAACCTGAACAAAACTGTCAAACTTTACTGAGCATACCGAAATAAGCCTCAGCTACAAAATTACACTGTCTCTCAAACCATGCCATTGGCAAAATCACCGATCAAAACTTGTGGTCATCTATATATATAGAACTCAAAGGTGACTGACATTGTGATCTATCAACGCACAGCCTAAACCGCTGGACGAATCGGGCTGAAACTTGGTGCAGGTAGATGTTATGACGTAGTCATCCCCTAAGAAAGGATTTTGATTAATTCTACCCCCAAGGGATGAAACTTTATATGAAACTTTGTCAATTTTAAACCGATTGGGCTAAAACTTTGCATGCATAAAGCTACTATGACGTAGGCATCCCCTAAGAAAGAATTTTGATAAATTCCACCCCAAAGGGGATAAATTAACATGAGTGAAGCCGCGGGCAAAAGCTACTAGATACATAAGAATTTTCAATCTTTGATCTCAAATGACATGCTTATAATTTCAATGCTAAGAAAGGATTTTGATTAATTCTACCCCCAAGAGGATAAAATATGGGATAAAAGTTTGTATGAAACTTTGTCAATTTTAAACCGATCGGGCTGAGACTTTGCATGCATAAAGCTACTATAACGTAGGCATCCCCTAAGAAAGGATTTTGATAAATTCCACCCCTAAAGGGATAAATTTAGTTAAAAATAAAGAAGATGAGAACCTAAACAAATGTGATTAAATAAAGTAAATTTATGCAGTGACCATAGTGTTTAAAGAATCACATAAGTTTTTTTATTTGTTTTTTTTTTATATTTATATCTTGCAATCAGCTCACCAAGCCTTTGACTATTTGTTGTGGGACCATTTACAGGTGAGAACTGTACCTCCAGTGAGGAAACTGTCTCATTTTACATTAATGGTTCTGATCAGTGAATAAAATCCCATGTATGATGTCTTTTAAGCCTTCTGTAGTGAAATGGGTATCATAGTGCGTGTTGCAGGGATATTATTCCTCTTACATAAAGGAATCTCCTTTATGTAAGAGGAATGGTAAACTGAATGACCTGACCTGATGGTATGTGGTAATAATAATAATTTTGATTATTAAACTGTACCACACACAGTACACACAAACAGTATTGGGTGTCCCTTGGTACATCACCAACAACGAAATTCACAAGGAACTTGGCGTACTGCCAGTAAAGGAGGAGATCCTCAATTGTAAAGAAAAATATAAAAAGCGACTATGTAACCACTCAAATCAACTGGCTGCTCAATTACTACAAATATTTTACCCCAAGCGACTAAAAAGAAGCGACATTGTGTAATGTTTGCAGTATGCTTAAGCAGTAGATTCTCCCGCTAGGGTGGACAATCCATTCTTAGATCCCACACCCAAAAAATCTGCTCATAGTTCTGGGAATGTTTGCAGATAAGAAAAGATAAAAAAAAAAATTTAATTAAATTTTAAATAAAAGAAATAAATTTAATAATAAAAGTAATACTTTTTTACAATTTTTGTCTGTCTATCTCTTTGTTTGTTCCGGCTAATCTTTATATCGGCTGGACCGATTTTGATGGGACTTTTATTGGCAGGTAGCTGATGTAATAAGGAGTAACTTAGGCTACTTTTATTTTAGAAAAATAAAGCTAAATTCCATGTGGACAAAGTCGCGGGTACAGCTAGTATATAATATATTTTCTTTTTTAATATGCATCTTACATTAGTATAAATTTGTTTCGTAAAAAGAAAAATAGTTTTACAAAGATCTCTATTCCTAGACAATTTCATGATCAGCCTTCTTTCATAATTTATCACACTAATATTTATCATTTTACCATCATGATACTGGACATCTGCTACAACTTCAATATAAACTAACTCGAGAAACTTGCATTCTTTTTGCTATTAAATAATGGAATTTCACTTACTTTCCAACTTTGCTGGTGAATCATCAATGACACACTGTTTAGTATAACTGTCCTCAATGGTGGGGTCATAATCAGTCACGAAATAACTCTGGAATAACAATAAAAAGGGATTTTAGGAACAGCTGGTAACTGCAGTGGGCGGCTCCTTCCCACAATGGGACCTTGACACCAAATATACTTGATGACTATTTTTAAATATGAAGAAATAGACAATTACTTTAAATATAAGCAACAGGAATATTACATAAAGTTTGTATACATCAGATATCCTAATATTCGAATCATAAAAATTATCTTAAGCAAAGATAAATACCTGAATGAATTGTATTGTAATTGCACTTTTTCCCACCCCGCCACCGCCGACCACGACAAGTTTATATGTCTGAGCTTGATTTGGTCTATCGCCAGGTCGAGACATATTTATAAAATAAATAAAACAACGGGTTTAACTAATATTATAATAAAAAAAATAGATTTCTAAATTAGATGACAAACAGTCAAGTCCGATTCGAAGGATGATTCAATTCACAGATCACAGAGGCTCCACAATATTAAATTCTGACATAGAGTACTTATTAAGTTTGACACAAATTTTAAAAATACTATACTATCTAAATATTACGACTTAATAGTTAAATAAATCACTTTCATTATACTAAAAAGAAGCAAATTAATTTAATTAGAGAGATAATGCGTATTTTGAAAATTTTACGTGATGGTCGAACCATTTTACTCTGTACTGTCACTCATGTGATATCTGTCATCAATGACTGATTAAATGACACTGTCAACAGTGTCATTTAAGTCAGTTCAGTTCAGTCAGAAAAGTCACAACAACAATTCCGATAATCCATTGACCGTTTCTCGTTTATATTTTTAGTTTTTGTTAATATTTAAGAATAAAACGATTGTAATAAATTATATCTGATCTGTGATTATAAGAATAAAATGTTTTCGACGAGTACACAGAGGAAGTTTTGGACGTTCAGTGACGAGAATGAGATAGCACGGCACCGAGAAAAACACAATTTGCAGTACATTTCAAAGCATGGGGCAAATATTGACGAATATCAACGGTATAACTTTTTTTGTCCCCTGATGAGGAGAGACTGCTTTTAAAACAATACGAGCTTCATATGAAGGAGTTCTGCAAGAGGTTCAGTCCACCGATGCCGAAGGGCGTAGTGGGCACCTCATTTAATTACTTTAAGCGTTTTTATTTGTACAACTCCTCAATGGATTATCACCCGAAAGAAATTCTTGCTACCTGCGTATATTTGGCGTGTAAAGTGGAAGAGTTCAACGTGTCTATAGGTCAGTTTGTAGCTAATATTAAAGGAGATAGAGAGAAGGCATCTGATATTATATTAAATAATGAATTATTGTTAATGCAACAGTTGAACTATCATCTGACTATTCACAATCCCTTCAGGCCAGTAGAAGGCTTCCTTATTGATATAAAAACGAGGTGTACACTAGCTAATCCAGAACGGTTACGAAGTGGGATTGACGAATTTCTAGAAAGGGTGTTTTTAACAGATGCATGTTTGCTGTATGCTCCGTCACAGATAGCTCTGGCTGCCGTCCTTCATGCAGCGAGTAAAGAACAGGAAAATCTTGATAGCTACGTCACAGAAACATTATTTAGAGACGCCGGACCAGATAAATTGGCTATTTTGATTGAAGCAGTACGTAAGATTCGTTCATTGGTTAAAATGGTGGAGAGTCCGGCACGAGAACGAGTTAGGATTATTGAGAAGAAACTAGACCGGTGTCGTAATCAGGAGAACAATCCGGATAGTGAAATATACAAGAGGCGTATGAGAGAAGCCTTGGATGAAGAAGACCTGCCATATTTGCAACAGAGCAGAATGTCTCTAGATACAAGTGGAATCTCACAAGTGTTGTCCCCTTCGGCGTCTTAATATTGACTATTAATGTATTATTTTGACTTAAACGATTTTTTTTATATATAGACAGACTACACATATAAACAGACTGTATATTTAAAAATGTGTTTCATTTGTCTTTCTTTCCATCTAATTTGGCCTGATACGGATAGAGCATGGATCTGTCGGTTATATACTGATGTACTTTACTTCCCATGGTTGTGTGTTCAATTCCTTGCATGGTACAAACATTTGTATTCATGAGTTTGATTGTTTGTATCGTTCTGGGTATTGGCTATGTATATATATATATATATACTATGTACGTATTTACAAAAAAATATCTAAATATGTTTGCGTCTGTATCTGTATCTTCTTCCTTTCTTAGGTCCCTTCACATCTATCTCTTTCCATGGCAAGGAATCTGAAAAGGACAGAGATGTCTCGTCTCGCTCGAGCCCGATCAGCGAGACTCGGCACACGTAGTCGCTCTGACATAGTTGAATGATGGCTATCATAGTTTTTACATCAGTTCTCTAGACCTATAAGACAAGGTCTGCTTAGCTTGGGACTAGATGGCGCTGTGTTTTCCAGGGTTATTATTAATTTGGTATACCGGTATTGATATGAAAGAAAGAAATTGACCACAATCAATGTTTCACAATGTTTTATGATTCATTCTAATTACGCCTAGACGTACATTATTATTTATATTATTCTTATTATATATATGTTATATAAGCTGTGCTCGCCGTTTCCCTGCATCATATTTATAGCCTATGTGTTATTCTGATGTATAATCTATATTATTGTTAGTATAATTAATTTTCATTCAGTAGTTTTTACGTGAAAGAGTAACAAAACACCCATCTATCCATTTATACACACAAACTTTCACGTTTATACTATCAGTAAGATAGTGTAAAGGTATCCACAGAACACCAGCGTCGTGGCACCTCGTCATGGCAAATGCTGAGCAGAGACCTTTTCGATATTCACATTAGTCTACAATTAGGTGAAAGAGTACTTTCACGCGCAAACTTTGCTTTTAATGAAAATCGTGAGGTGTTGTTCGATATCATTCGTTTTCGAATGATATCCATATGAATGGTAGAATAAAAAAAATGTGACTATTCAAAAGTGCTTATATTAAGTTTATTTGAAGAAAGATTATTTCTATTGTAGGCAATGAGAGGAAATTAAAAAAAATGCAATAAAAATTCTCTATTGTTTCTTAAATACGTAATTTTATTTGGTTAACATAAAGCATTACAAAATGAGAACACATCGTGGATCCATACGTAACTGAATATTAAAATTAAGCATATTTTAGATAAATAAGTGTTTATAATAATTAAACAATATTTATTAGGTACATACAGTCGATAAATATTTTTTCACTTTCTTGATAATAAACAATTATGAATCAATACAAAACAAGTTGGTTGTAGTCGTCATATTAAAAATATTTTTATTCAGGTAATTCAAGGTTTTTGACAAATTATTAGTTTCTCAGCTTCATTCTGTAACAAAAAAAAACAATAAAACAAAGTCGAAGTACAGATAAGATAATATTACATAATCGAAGTAGGTTAAACGATTTTAAAATTAAAACAAAAATCCAAGTAAACCAATTTTCTATATTTATTTAAAAGTAAGTCTTTGTGGAACCCGCTTTCTCCCTGATTTGCCCCTGTCCCTGATTTGATAAGCGTTGATCTTAAAAAAATTCTATATTAAAAAATAACGGTTTCTAAAACAAGTTATTTGCTGTTTACGTTATGAGTCTACATTACCTCGTTAAATATCAGGCAGGATAAGTTATGGACGTAGCCAGACCGAAATAACAATGAGAAAAAAACAAAGAGAACCCAATTCTAATTTCAAAACTCTGGTTTCCCTTCGATTCTTGCATTTGCATGAATCTTTCTGATTAAATCTAAATTGAGATATTATTGGAGAATTAATAAAGTTACCTGTATCAATTTATAAATGGCAGCCATTGATTCGTCATTTCTGCACGAGATTGAGCCAGTTATCGACGATCTTTTCCCGCCCCAACTTGACGTGAACGTCAGTTGAGCTTCCGCTACCCATAGGTATGCGACTAAAACGATTACCAACAAAATAAGTTTATGCATTTTATAGTCTGTATTTATTTACTATTGTTAAAATGGTGGTAGCTTCTTTGAGAGCTATTCAAGTTTTGATGGTGTGTTAGGACCAGATACAGTTTTTATACGCCTGCAAATGTACTGATGAATAAATGAAAGAAGCCACAAAATGTTTAATTTGTCCGCCCCTGACTGTAATTAGTTTTTGTTTTTCGCAATTGGTTTTTATTTAGCCACTGCCCACGCCGCGGACAATAAGCATAAACTTAAACTTAACATACTTATTATTTCACTAAAGATCCGGCCCGGCTTTGCACGGGTACAATTAGAATAAACAATCATTTAGGTATTCATGTAGGACATTTTAGCCGCTTATGAACGCTTATGAATTATTGTATTAATATTTTATTTCCCTATCGTTCAGTTCAGTATACAGATTCAATTAGAAGAACTGGCAAGAAACAACTGATTTTATTTTGTTTTAATAGCCAGTTTATTTACATTGTACACGTATATAGGCGTATATATCTGACATTAAGTATAAATCCCGTGCATGAACAACTACTGCTATTCTCGTTTGTCATGTAAGTAATCTATATGAGTCAAGGGATTTGCTCTATACCTAAATATTTAATCCAGATCGCTACATCCTATGGTGGAAATCATGGCCCCATATAACACTGACACAGCGGAGCCATGGCTAAATATATGCATTATATGTTGATAAGGCACCGACCTAGCGCCGTATTCATTCATATTATATTTGGGACATGGTGTCTATGGAAATAACGGAATTTCCCATTTCTGAATCACGTAAGGTGTCTGATGTCTAAAAGAAGGGTGTTTCTGTATAAGTAAGATAAACACTTATATCTTAACTTAGTTCTTTTATTAAAAATTTCAGACTTTTACTCTGTAGAAAGTTACTTTAAAAATGTTTGGAATTCGTATATCGAATGTTACAAAATACTAAAGTTATTGGGATGATCTGTTTTTGGCCTAATTTGAACATTAAAAAAAAGAAACTCAATTTTAAAAAAAGAATACTCATTGTTTTTTGGGCTAATTTGAACTTCAAAAAAAGAATGCTTACCGTTTTTTTTGGAATGGTTTTTGGGCTAATTTGAGCTTTAAAAAAGAAAACTCACCGTCCTTTGGGCTAATTTGAATTTTAAAAAAGAATGCTCACCGTTTTTTGGGCTAATTTGAACTTTAAAAAAAGAATACTCACCGTTTGTTGGGCTAACTTGAACTTTAAAAAAGAATACTCACCGTTTTAGTTATTGGGCTAATATGAAATTTAAAAAAACAACATCACCGTATTTTTGGAATGGTTATTGGGCTAATATGAAATTCAAAAAAAGAACACACCGTTTTTTTTATAATGATTATTGGGCTAATATGAAATTCAAAAAAAGAACACTTACCGTTTATTTGGAATGGTTTTTGTGCTAATATGAAATTAAAAAAAAAAGAACACTCACAGTTTTTTTGGA